GAGGTCGGTGTGGATCCGCAGCGCGCCGCCCCTCGCCGTCACTGCGATTCCCAGCCCGCGGTCCGGCTGATGAGGGAAGCGGAGAAAGGGGCAGGAGGGGGCGGGGCGGCGTCCCGCTCGGGGAGAGTTGGGGGAGGAGCGCGGCGGCGGCGGCGGCGGCTCTGGAAGAGGCGAAGGAGGCGGCGGAGCTGCTTACCTCTTCTCAGACCCCGGAGCGTCCCGGACGCGGAGCCCGGAACTGGGGGGGACGCGGCGACTGCGGGGACCCGGCGTCGGTGAGGCTGAGCGGGCTCGGTGCGGAGGGGGGCTTGGTGAGGGATGAAGGGAGCGCGGAGGAACTGAGAGCGGCTTGAGGGAGGGCACGGGGAAAGAGTAGTTGTTGGGGGCTGGGTACGGAGGAGACGGGGAAGTGAGCCCCTGGGACTTGGGGTGCCCAGATGGTGGAAGGTGTCTGGGGTCAGCGGGGCGGGCCCAAGCACACCGGTCCGAGTTGGGGTGTTTCCAGAGGCAGAGGCCGGGGGAACAATGGAGTGAGGGGGTTCTCTGGTGTAACCGTGTGTGGGGTATTGGATTTTAAGAAACAAGGAGAGATGGAAAATAATGAGAAGAAAAAAAAAGGGCTATTTGGGAGTGGAAGTACAATGGATTGGGAATGCAGTGGGAATGCGTAAGGTCATCTGCATGGGTGCCGGAGGTCCTTACGATTTGGGGCAAAGTGGGATTTGGAAATAAGAGATAGAAGAGCATTTTTGGAATCGAGGGGAGATAAAAGAGCATTCTTGGAATTGGGATGGTGGAAGAGAACGGAAGATTATGCGAAGTGGGGCAGAGAAATGAAATAGATGTGCTTTGGGCTTGAATTAAAGCAGAGGGTAGATCTAGGTAGAGAGTGTAGGGTAGGTGGACCGAGTTCTCCTGATTCATCCAGGGTGATTGGGTTATTTTAGAAGGTGGCTCTTTCCCAGGCTTGTCCCTCTGCTAAGGAGTACAAGCTGCTCTTTTAGTAATTTGGTTGTCATGTATAGTCCGTTTCATTGATAAAGCATACCTGTAATAATGGTGTCTCCTCTGCTCAGGTTACAGTACGTATTTTACCTGTGGTTAAGGAAGCAGGAGAGGACAGATCTCCAGAAGCAGGCGTCTATCTTGCTTTTGAGTCAGGCCAGTGATAATGCAGAGTTCATGGTGTTTGAGGGAGAACCAAGAGTTTGTTTTCATTTAGACCAAAAGGTGATGAATAAAATCGAAGTTATCTGTACTTTATTAGAATTGCATTTTCTCACTGAGAAATGTTCAGGTACCATCTGCTACTGGTTTTATGTTCGTGAGAGAGCTTGGCTGCCTCAAAATCTCGATGCTGATTTCAAATGATCAGGTTGCCTCATATTTCCCAGTTTGAATGAAGGTGATTTGAAAATCACCTTATTTGAAAATATTGTGGGGGGTGGGAAGTATTTCTGATAACTTGGATTTCCAGACTAAATTTTGAATGCATGGTATTACGTACAAGATTGCTGGTTTTGAAACTGTAGTTACCTTTCTGTGTTCATAAATAGTCCACGGTAAGCTTTTTATTTGTTGGGCATTAAGTTTTGCTGACTCATTTAAGATTTCTGGGAATTCATCAGTTTATATTTATTTCTCAGCTAGATCTTGTATAGTAGCATTAGGCCACTTTATAAAGGTCCAAAAATAATTATGTAAATTGTCACTTTACTTATATGTTATAAAAACTGGACAAAGCAAGGAGTGAGTGCAGTGTCCTCATTAATGATAATATGGCTCTTTATTGACCTCTTTCAGTGGGCTAGGCAAGGTGCTAAGATTGTTTTTGCATACATTATCTCATTTAATTGAATCCTCACAATTATTTCCTATTTTATAAATTAAGAGGTGAAATAATTCACTGAGGTCACAGAGCTAGTAAATAAAGCTGAATTCAGATCCAGCTCTTTTGGATGTCTTCTTTAAATCTTCACTGTCTGGCCCTAGCTGGTTTGGCTCAGTGGATAGAGCCTTGGCCTGTGGACTGAAGGGTCCCAGGTTTGATTCTGGTCAAGGGCACATGCCTGGGTTTGGGGCTTGATCCCCAGTGGGGGGCGTGCAGGAGACAGCTGATCAATGATTCTCTCATCATTGATGTTTCTATCTCTCTCTCCCTCTCCCTCTCTGAAATCAATAAAAATCTATTATAAATCAATCAATCAATCAATCAATCAATCTTCACTGTCTAATGGTTCTTCCTGCCCTCTCCATCCTCTGGTTTTGGTTGTAGTACAAGCAGCATGAATTGGTTGCAACTTGGATCTGATATAATATTAATTATTTAGATGAAGAGTGGGTTAGTGGGCTACATCTCTAGAGTTAATTGAGTGTTTACTCCTCCTGTAATTTACTAAATCTGGGGTCCTGATAATAGGGCTAACACATCTTACTAAGGTTTGTCCTGTGAGCACACTTAATTTTCTGTTTAGTGTACTGCCGGCGTGCTGTGCATACATGTCACTCTTCCTTGTAGAAGTCAAGACAGCCAATTGTGGAATCAAAACTAGTTCACACAGGAAAACAATGGAAAACTGCTGAGTACTCAAGTGCCCTCCAAGCACCTGTTGAGTCCACAGTTGGTACTAGCATTATCTCTAAATATAGATAGAATCCTCTTAGAAACCCCTAGTGAAACAACTAGAACTGAGAGAAACAGCTGGGGCCTGAGGGAGGAGCCATAGGTTACTGGCCAAAACATCAGCATAGCCCCTGGAGGCTGATCAGGAGTAGCAGAGGGCTACAAGTGCTAGTGAATGGCAGGAGGGAATTATTTGTTGAGCATTTCTGTAGTCTAGGCATTGATCTCAGTGTGTTTTATATATATTACTTATAAGATCTCCAATCAATCATAATAAGATAGTTATAAGCATTATCCCCATTTTTCAGATGAGACTCAGAAAGGTTAAGTAACTTGTGCAGTCAGTTAATAAAGCAGTGAAGGATGTTTGTATGTACTATTTATTGTTGTTATTATTATTTTAAACTAGTGGCCCTACACATGAATTCGTGAGCAAGTTGCTCTCTGCAGCTTGTCTCAGCTGGCCGCCCCGCCCACTGCTGCTTGTAGCTCTTCCCCACACTGCAGTTTGCTGCCCCGCCCTCCTGTAGCTCTCTACTGCTTGTAGCTCGCTGCCCTGCCCTCCTGATGATCGGTCGTTACCATCATGGTGTAACAACCATTTGCATATCACCTCTTTATTATATACTAGAGGCCTGGTGCATAAAATTCGTGCACTGGGGGTGGGTGTCCCTAAGCCCAGCCTGCACCCTCTCCAATCTGGGACCCCTCAGGGGATTTCCAACTGCCGGCAGTCGGACATCCCTCTCACAATTCGGGACTGCTGGCTCCCAACCACTCACCTGCCTGCCTGCCTGCTTGCCCCTTATCTGCTTCTACCTGCCAGCCTGATCACCCCCTAACCACTCCCCTGCCAGCCTGATCACCCCCTAACCACTCCCCTGCCAGCCTGATTGATGCCTAACTGCTCCCCTGCCGGCCTGGTCACCCCCAACTGCTCTTCCCTGCTGGCCTGGTCGCCCCCAACTGCCCTCCCCTGCCGGCCATCTTGTGATGGCCATGTTGTGACCACATGGGGGCGGCCATCTTGTGCGAGGGTGTGACAGTCAATTTGCATATTACCTCTTTATTATATAGGAGGATTGCTGGTTGCAGTTTCTCACAATAGAGCCACCATGTTAAAATTGGGAATTTAACAGTTACTCTCTAGGATCCACTGTGCTTCTTTGATAGAAGAAGTAGAACTGATTTTTTAATCTTGCTGCTTTCACTGGAGACTGGAAGGAAAAGCTTTTTATATTTTCTTTTTCTTTTTCTTTTTAAAATATATTTCTTTATTGATTTCAGAGAGGAAGGGAGAAGGAGAGAGAGAGAGAAACATCAATGATGAGAGAGAATCATTGATCGGCTGCCTCCTGCACACCCCTTACTGGAGATCGAACCTGCAACCCAGGCACGTGCCCTTGGCCGGAATCGAACCTGGGACCCTTCAGTCCACAGGCTGACGCTCTATCCACTGAGCCAAGCCGGCCAGGCTATTTTTCTTATTTAATTGTTGGGAAGGGGAACCCATTCATTTATTTAACAGATGACTTCTTGTAGAATATAGTTCAGTTTCTTCATTTGCTTGGTATCTATATATATAAAATCCTAATATGCAAATAGACTGAATGGTAGAACAACTGAACAACCAGTTGCTATGATGTGCGCTGACCACCAGGGAGTGCACTCGGAACATGGCGGGTGTCAGCAGCAGGCAGCAGAGCATGGAACATGGCGGGCATCAGCTGGGGTGGGATGGTGGAACAGGTGAACGAGGGTTGGGGGGGTGCCAGACCAAGGCTGGGCCCTGTCACTGTCATCGGGCGAGCCTCTGGTGGTTACTGAAAATTCTTTGCTCCATAGTGCTGTGGTCCTGCCTGGCGCTTGCATCTGCTGCTGGCGTTGGCCCTGCTTGCACCTGATGCCGGTGCCAGCCCCGACTGCTTGGCACCATCAGTGGGTGTGAGGGGCAGCTGCTCTCCCTGATCTCTCCTCAGGGCTTCTCCAACTACCCCTGCTCCTGAGGGGTGATCAGGGCCAGCATCCACCTCTCGCACCCGTTTCTGGCGATGGCCCTGCTCACACCTGCTGCCGGCGCCGGCCCTGGTCCCAATCGCTCGGCACCATCAGTAGGTGCGAACGGCGGCTGCCGGACCCGATTGCCCCTGAGGGCTGCTCCACCTTCCCCTGCTCCTGAGGGGCAATCGGGGCAGCAGCCGCCGCTTGCACCTGCTGATGGTGCTGGCCCTGCTTGCATCCGCTGCTGGCACCAGCCCTAATCGCTCCGTGCTGTCAGCTGAGTGGGGCTGGCACCATCAGCGCATGGGAGCAGCGGCGCAGGAGCGGGGGGCTGCCGGCAGACAGGAGAGGGGTGCCGTGGTGGGAGGGGCCAGGCGGGGTCGTGGAGGATGGGCTGAGACTTGTCCCTGTGCCCACTGCAGCTTCTCGGCCCACAGTTCCTTTCAAGGTGCATGAATTTGTGCTCTGGACCCCTAGTATAAATATATATCTGTAGCAACATGAAAATGGTATGTCCGTCTCTATTTTGAGATCTTGACTTTCAGGTAAGTCATCTAGGCTCTGCAGGATGACAGTGAAGCATGCCTGTTACAGACTTTTATCACTTCTCCTGATATATTTTTGCCACAATAGTTTAATCATGTTCTTGCT